TGTTTTCACTTTACATGGTAACAAATGGATGAGCACATTTTATCTTGAGGTTTTTCTGTCAGCCCCAGGCGCTTGATGATGTGGTTAATGATCTGTAAAACATTCAATTTCTAAAAGGAACCCTATGCTTCGTATTTGAAACGACCTTCTCCTATTTCATACTTTAAGTATGTTTACCTGGGTGCGGAGTCCTGGGTAGTGCAAATGGTTAAGCCCTCAACTATTAACCAAAAGGTGGGCGGTCTAAACCCACTCAGAGGCACCTCAGACCACAGGCCTGGTGATCTGCTTCTGAAAGGTCACCGCCATGAAAACCCTATGGAGTGCAGCTCTACTCTGCACAGATGAGGTCACTACGAGTCAGAATCAACTCGATGGCAATTGGTTTGGTTATTTTGGTTAGCTGGGTACTCCTTTATTGTCTAAATGAGTCATCATCTCTGAGCCCAGATTTGCTGTGGTTTATTTCTCGCACTAGTTTGTGTACTTCTGATTTGTATCTCTTGGCTTTCAGGGAGACTCAAGGCTGCCTTCTCCCCACCACTCCCGGCCCCCTTCACTCTGCCCCACTCTAGATGCTACCGGAGTTCAGCCTTGAAGACACTTTATCGGCTAGTGCTAGGTAGAGTTGTTACTCTGCCTGGTTGGAAAGGCTCACGGGCACATGGGCTTTTCACTTTTTTGTCTGAAGTGGTAAAAAGGTGTGGCTACTCCCACAATAGAGGAGATGCTTCTAGCTGTCATCTTCTGTTTGAACCCTATGTGAACTTTTTTCCTCCTTCTGGGAGAGGGCTTGGCCATCTTTCTTTGGCTTTCTTCCTTACTTTTTCAATGTTCTCTCTTCCCTATGTGGCAGCTGGGAGTCCAGGGCTGTTTTGGCCTGAGAAGGATGGAGCAGGTTTAGGGGCATTATTATTTAACTAAGGAGCCCTGGTGGTGCAATGGTTAAGCACTCAGCTGCTAAATGAAAGGTTGGTGATTCGAACTAACCCAACCACTCCATGAGAAAAAAGACCTGGTGATCTGCTTCTGTAAAGATTACAGCCTAGGAAACCCTATAGAGCAGTTCTGCTCTGTCACACTGGGTCACTATGTGTCGGAATCGACTCCAAGGCATATAACAAGAATATCATTTATTTATTCTCATAAATCCTCTTCCTTCTTTTCTTGTGGTACTGGCAGGCATGGTCTCTTGTTCCATTGGAATAGTAAGACCCATCAACATGGCACTATAGGCAGAAGCACCATGCCGTCCCTCTACAGCAAAGATCCGAAAAACTAAGCCAAACAGAAAACGGCAATCCTGAAACCCAAAGCATCAAATGAAGAGATAAAGAACTCAGCCAAGCACCAAATGGAGTAAGAAACTGTCAGAGAACAGAGAGCGAAGACAGATACATGCAGAGGTCTCCTATCAGCTAACGCAGCATGGATCCATCTTGGACTCCTATCAGAGATCAGCGAACAGGGAGTACGAGACAGCAGCATCACAGAGCTTCCAGCAGGAGACAGAACCACCGGTAACCAGCGATATAAGCTTTCCCACCCCCCACCTTTCTTCAACCCCACTCGGCCTCCTCTGCTTCCTGCAGCCACAGTCTCTTGGCTGGGAAGCAGCGGCTTCACACTGGTGTCACTTGGATTCCACCCACCTGCACTGGCCGGCTCCCTAAGTGCCATTTGTTGGCTGCTGGTGTTGCTTTTTTTTCCACTTCTTTTGATTTTTCCTTACCTTTCATCACCTCCTCCTCCTTTCTCTCAAATACCTGGCTCCATGTGCCATCTTTGCTTCTTCCTGAAAGGCTGTGGAATGCCGCTTGAATGTGAAACTGCTTCCTGGCCCGTGCTGCCACGCTGGTGGGATCCTTGGGCTTTTTTTTTGGTTTGAATTGTTTTCTTTTTCTTTTCTCAAATTGGGAGCCCATTCTAGCTGGGCAGTGCTGCATGGCTTGGGACCTACCCCCTCAGTTTGCGCAGATATGCAGAGGGATCACTGAGGGCATTTATTTTTTCCTGTTTTTTTGGGGGGGGTTTCTTGTTTTTTTAATTCATTTTTCTTTTCCCTCTTTTCCCCTTTTTGTCTTTCTTCATTACTCAGTTTCTCGTATCTCTATACTTTTCTTCTCTTCCTGTCCCCTGAATACCTGGTGCTGAGTGACACCTCTACCCCTTCTAGCCAGGCTGTACTTCACGGCCTGGGAACAACTTCCCCAGACCTTGCAGCTGCACCAGTGGGATCACTAGGAGCTTTTCTTTTCTTTTTTTCCTTCTAATTTTTATTCATTTTTTTCTTTTTTCTTCTTCTTTTCCTTTTTGTTTCTCTCCATTTCATAGTCTCTCATCTCTCCACTCCAATGGCAAGCTCCCCTAGCACTCTTTTTGTTTCTATGTTTTTGGCTCCTGTTCCTCTCTCCTCTCTCTCCTCTCTCCCATACCTATCTTAGCTCCACACATCACAGTCTGCCCCCTCCATCCTGCCTACCTGCACATCACACGACCAAGCAGCCAAGGCACAGCCTACCGGAACCTGCCCTGCACTGATTACTGGCCCACCCTGGTGGCCGCAGTAAGTGCCACAAACACCCATCCTAGCGACTCCTCTTCGGCTAGACCTGCCCTGCTGTACCATATCTGAGTGACTGACCCTGCCAGTTGGAAAAGGTGAAAAGCATCGTGCCCACAGATGAGCAAACAACAAAGAACACACAGCCCGCCTGCTCAGACATAGCCAAATAAAACAAAAAAGCAGGACAAAACAAATAAATCTACAATCAATAAATGAGGAAAATAACTACCAAATGCCCCAAAGACAGCAGACAATATTAAAACATTTACAAAAACAGGACAGGATGGTTCCAGCAGGCATCCAAAATAAAACACCAGATGACTTTCCAGTAGAAGAAAAGGCACTAGAACTACCTGATAGGGAATTTGAATCTCTAATATTCAGAGCTATCTAAGAGTTGAAGCAAAAAGCAGACAAAAATGAGGAAAAAATAGGCAAATTCATGGAAAAGGCAAACAAATTCATGGAAAATACAGACAAAAAAAATGGAAGAATTCAGGAAAATAATGCAGGAACAAAATGCCAAAATAAAGTCACAACCAGAAATCATACAAAACAACAATAAGAAATCCAAAAGATAAACAACAAGTTTTCAGAAATGGACAGTGTCATAGAAGGGCTGAGGAGCAGGTTTGAAATGGTGGAAGACAGGATCAGCGAAACTGAAGACAAACACTTGTATACAACTCTGAGGAAAAATCAGAAAAAAGAATGAAGAAAACTGAAAAGACCCTGAGAATTATGTAGGATACAATCAAAAGCAAAAATCTGCGAGTGATCAGAGTTCCAGAACAGGGGAAGAAAACAGAAAACACAGAGAGGATCACTGAAGAACTGCTGACAGAAAACTTCCCCAATATCACGAAAGACAAAAAGCTGGCCATCAAAGAAACTCAACAAACCCCATATAGGAGAGACTGCAAAAGAAAATCACCAAGTTATATCATAATCACACTTGCCAAAACCAAAGACAAACCAAGAATCCTGAGAGCAGCTCG